TTGCTTAATAGGAAATGAATTGTTTGTTGTTAATTTTGGTTCCATGAGATATGTTGTTTGTTGTTCATTTTAGTTCTATGAGTTATGTTTATTGATTTTGTTTCCAATTGCGACGCTTTTGGTTACTGAGTTATGCTTATTTTGGTTCCATTAAATAGTAGGATATTTATTAATGTTGATTTTGATTCCATGACCTTGATACTTTATGCGGATACTTTATGGTACTGTTTCTTTATGAGTAGTAGTAGATTTTATAAAACGTTTATGGTACTGTTTCTTTATGATAGTTCATTTGTCCAACTACAAATGAAAAATCACTACAAGTACCTTAAAGAAAAATATACATCTTGGTCTAAATTGAAAAACAAAACGGGCAATGTCTACGATCCATCAACCAGCACCTTCAATCTATCCGAGGAAGAATGAAAGATAGATTTAATATGCTTTTCACCTTCAATTTTGGTTACTTATTTAATATGCTCTTCACGTATGCTTAGGCTGGATAAGAAGTTAAGAGAAGTTGCATTTAGTCCAACCTCTGGCTTTCCATTTCCTCCACGGGGTATGTACAATTTTTACTCAACTTTAAGTGTTTACCTTTTCTTATACATTTTATATAATGCGGTTAAGCTCAAATTTCAGTTGTAGATAAATATTATCTTTGTGATGTTGCTTATGCCAACACTCGTGGTTTTACTACTCCATACCACCATACGAGGTCTTGACTTGTTGATTTTCAACGACAACATGTCTTGACAAAAGTAGAAAGGTTCAACCATGCTCATGCGTAACTCATAAACGTTATCGAGCATGCAAACTGTGTCTTGAAGGCAAGATTTCCAATTTTAAAGCAAATGACTCCCTATCCGTTTCAAATACAAAGAAACGTTGTAATTGCATGTTTTGCAATTCATAGTTTTATAAGAAGATGCAATATTCACAATCAATTATTCATGGATTACGACAGTGACTCCATGTTTACTGTCGATGGACAAGAAGAATTGGTAAACAATGACCACATGGCTAATTTATGTTACCAGATTGCGAATTAGTTAATGTTAAATGCGTCAAATTAAGAATTGTTTAAAAGCTATTATGTTGGAATTTGATTGTTATGTTTTTGTTTATTCTAAAACTTGAAAAGGTAATGTTATGTTTGTTTGGATTAATATGAAATCTTGCTTTGAACTAGTAATGTCATGCTTGTTTGGATTAATATGAAATATGTAATTATATGTGCAAAATAATTGTTTTATTCAAATATATATGTCAAGCAACTATATTTCATTCAGTACTCAATCATACAAAGGGTTAAAATGATAATTTATTGCAAAATGAAATATAATTGTTCGATGATTGTTTACAATGAGGGTGCTGAATGGTTAAGGGAAACACATGATACAAAATCATTTAGAGGATTTTAGAACCATTAAGAAGCAATTTTTTTTTCTCAAACAAAATTCATCTCTAAACGATTCAATGTTGTCTCTTAATGAAACTATTAAGATGTAAACAAACAACATATTAGGAGTTTTCATTCGTTACCTTTTAATACCCTTATCAAACACCTATAGTTTAACTTTAATTAGGTGTTATTTTATTTTTCAGTTTTAACCTTTTGATATTTTTAGTTTTAACTCTTCAACTTTTTAAATATTTTAATATTATATCTTTTACGCTTTTAATTTTTAATCTATATTATAACTATGTAAATTAATTAACTATATATTATTATTATTAATTAATAAAGTATTAATGATACATATTTTTTAATAATTATATAAATTAATTAACTTTATATTATTTGTAACATTCTATTCCATAATTGCATATAATTCACAGATTTTATATAACATGAAATACAAATATTGCACATTGGTCCTAAATTAAACATATTGCTACATACAAAAATAGCTACAAACTTTTTGCTAATATAAAATACATGACTTGTATATAACACATTCCCAAGTACATGTATAAATTCAGCTTCCTAAAAATTCCACAAATGTAAAGCATTAACAATCCCTTCACATCTTAATCTTCCCCTTACTTTTCACATGTGCCTGATCTGTAATGTATATTTTTAAAAACAAAACGAGAGTTAGACCATAAATTCTAGCAAGTAATTCTCTTAGTAGCTATTACAGAGTGAAAATCACCAAAATATATTTTAGAAAGCCTACATTTGTATTGATAACAAACAAGGTGTGTACCCGTGCAATGTTGCGGGAGCCATGAATTTTAACGATTTTGAAGTTCCACTGGTTTTATAAGATAAGATTTAACGATGATATAGGTTACACTTGGTCTTTACATATTAATACAATTTGAAAAAATAAGAGTTATGGTTCCAATTACAGACTATCGATGAAAAAAATTGTATGACAGTTTAAAATTCAATATATTTAAAATCCAACATATTTAAACGACTCCACAAATGTGTTYGATTTACACCAAGAGCAAAGAACCAAGAAACTTGAGTTTTAAGATAAACACTCAAAACCAATAAAGAACACAACAAATTTGACAGATCATATAAGCCATGAAAAGACCAAAAAAGATGGATTTTAGAATGAAATTTCAACTGCTTACCCTCTTTCTTGTCCAGAAACTCAGATTAAGGTTGAATTAATACATGTATATATATATTTCAAAAAAATCCAAGAACATATTAATTCAGAACATATTATACAGTGCAATTTGGATAGCCTAACCCCAAAATATATAGTATATATATAAATAAATAACTAAAAAAGTATAAATCGTAAATATTTAAAATATTTTTTTCACAGTATATATAATATATGATAATATAATTAAGTCAAAAACTATTCAATATTGGACTCATTTCGAAGGTATTAACGAGACGATTATATTGGTGTAACTTGTTAAAATAAAAATGTATTTTTTAAACATGTTTTAATTGATATACAATTATGTATGTTAATTTGATAAATGTTTAAATGAAACATTTAAAAGTAAATGACATAAAGTAAATTAATTAACTAATTATAAGGGTATAAAATATAAATTTAAAATTATAATTTTAAAAAAAATCGGTTGTTAGAGAGTGAGTGTATGTGAGGAGAGGATGGGGTGAAAAAGTAGTATAAAGGGTATCTTGGTCACTTAGTATTTTAAGACTTTAAGGCTTTTGTTAAATTTGCTTAATAAGATAGTGTAGATAAACAATGTTTTATTGTAACAAACCTTTTTTATCGCACCATTTAAATGAGAAAACCCCTTTTTATCGCATCAAATAACATGATGACCAATTTTGTCGCATTAAACTCATAATACACCAACTTGTCGCACAGGGACGGACCCAGAATTTTTTTTTAAACGGTGGCACCATTTGATCATAAGAAAAAAATATAGGAAATTTTTTTTCAAACGGTGACACCGTTTGATTATAAGAAACAAATATACGGAATTTTTTTCAAACGGTGCCACCGTTTGACTAAGAAAATGACACAAACCAACTCTACCAAATAAAACTTGTTTTCATTGTAGTTTCAAAATACATACGGTGGCACACAACAAATTAATACGGTGCTTTCGGCGGAGAAACGATACGGTGGCACGTGCCACCCATGGCACCTATGTAGGTCCGCCTATGTTGTCGCATCATTTAGATGCGATAATATATTTCCTCACATCATACACATGCGATCACCTCTTTTTGTCGCATCACACTGATGCGATAACCCCAATTTTTTGCATCACAAGGATGTGATAATACCATTCTTTGCACCACGTAGATGCGATAACCACCACTTTGTCGCACCATATAAAAGCGATAACCATAATTTTTTGCACCACACTGGTGCGATAAACCCAACATATCGCGTCACAAGGATGTGATAAAAATAACACTGAATCCATCCCAAACTTTATCGCATCAAACAAATGTTATAAAAATCAACCCCATCGTATCATAAATATGCGATAACAATAACCCATGATCAAAAGATTCATCATTTCCAAAAATTGGTTATGTCACTCTTATCCCAGTATACCCAACTCCTGATTATATAAATATACCCAGCTCCTGATTATGTCATCCTTATTACTAAATATATCCAACTACTGATTTTGTCACCCTTATTACAATCAGTTGATAATAACATATTAAAACCCAAAATTATGTTTATAAATAACATATAATCATTATCAAAACACCCAAGTATGAATCCATACCATTCCATAAAAATATTTCATATAAAGCTTTGAAAATGAAACTCTTCTTGTAATCACATGTATACAAAGATGTTAAACGACAACAATTAATCAAATAATTACGAAATTAAATTCTCCGTCTCTTTTTTTTCTGTTTACGCGAATCATGAACCAAGAAAATTGATTCACCAACTTTTTGTCGTTACTCTTGTCTTCAAATTATAATTAAGAAGAAAAAGAATAAAACATATATATATTTTTTTTTAAAAAGAGGCGGCGGCGAAAGTATTATAAAAAAGGGGATGAGAGTGACCATTGACTTTGATCGAGGCGGCGACATGTTTTCGAGTGGTACGTCAAATTGAAAAGATACATTACAATAATAGTTCTTTAGGTTTATCAAAAATTTTGGTTTTTGTTATTATCTTTTTTAAATCAAAAATATCGTCACTAAAATTTTAGGTTTGATGCATAAATGGTCCATTAACGTTAGATGATGAATATTTTTGTCTTTTTATCTTTTTATAGATTTTTTAACGAGTCCTTGTAATATATGTATAACTTATTAAAATATTTATTTACAAAATAAACTTGATATTGAATATTTTTTTATTTTATTATATGACCATAATTATATAAATATAATAAAGATATAAAATAAAAATAAAAAAATCAACAAAGTCAAGAAACTTAATAAATATAAGAAGATGATGACGGCGGGAGTGACATCCCCTTTTCCTACAACCATAATTTCCACGCGTCTTACCTACCGGCCTATATAAACCCCTCCTTAATTTGGCAATTCAAAAAGTGCATTGCTACAAATATGGCCGCCGCCGGCGATCTCCCCATCTCCGACTGCAACCATCGGTCAGTAGTTTATTTATATACGACTCAAGTTTATACATACATATACATACATATATATATATATATATATATATATATATAATATCTTGTACAAATTCTTTACAGGATGTTGAATCACTATCCTCTATACCTCAATTTCATGGCTGTACTTTTCGCATTAGTTATTCAGATGCAGCATTTGAGCCCAACAGCGATGAACCAGCTTCGAGTTGCGGTCATCGCATTTACGGTAAATTTTGCTGCGAATTTGGGCGTACAACAAACATCAAATGGGTGCACCGGTTGTTCGAGGGCTCATCGCCGCTTGTGTGTTTTTCTGACCATATTTTACGTCACCATGCTAGTAACTCCGGTGATACTGCTCTTTATTTTAGTCGTAGAGCCGAGCCTTTGGCATCCGATACTGGGATATTTTCATAGCATTTGGTCAGGTATTAACCATCTCGTGTTTGGTGAGACCGCAACCGCAATAGCTATGGCCTTGCCTCCGCCGGAGATCGAGGATTCCGTTTATCGGAGAATCTCCGTTGGTGTTTGTAATTTCTTGGCCAGGCCAACAGATGGACCTACTCCTCCAATTCTTCCGGTGAGTATGCCTCCTCCGACAACAGCCAGCTGGTGGAGTTCGGTAGCATCTTCCGGCCGTCGCTTTATTATGAGAAGTCGCCGGGAGGAAGTTGAGAGGACTATGAGTGTATAGTTAAATTTGTAGTTCATCTAGTGTATATAAAGTTCAAGGATTATTTGAATTGGTAGAATTCATATTTTTTCATTTATAAAATATGTTCATCAGTTCTTTCTCATCTTTTCCAGCGGTCATATCCGTATGAAATTCGTTGAAAAACAGAGCTTCCGACGGATATGGCCACCGGAAAATGAGGCGCCGATGATTCCTTTTCCGAAAAATATCAGGGGTTTGTTGGAAGTTTGGTTTTTCGGTCTACTATTTTTAGAGAACACTAAGTATCTTTCGTTCAGTAATTGTATCTTGTTATCTTGAACGCGAAGCTAATTGAATACTACGTAAACGTTATGATGTCTTTCTATTCTATAAGTTATCGATGCATGAATATACTGATTACCATCGAATTTGATTTGTTGTATCTTCAAGTTGGTCGAGAGTCGTCGTCGTTTCTTCGAGTTGATCGAGAGACGTTGTCATTTATTTCGAATGCGGTAATTTACTGTATCATGTTAGCGTTAGATATTTTTTGTTCATAAAGTGATTTTGCTGGCACGTTCTTTTATTAACTGTCTAATTAGTACAAAATTGTGCTAATCAGGGTATTTTTCTTCTTCTTCATCTGTTAGGACTGAATTTTTTCGTGTTAAATTGTATTCATCTTGAAAGTCTATAATTGTAAAGTTAGCGTGTTTGACTTTGTTAGTCATGTTAAATTGTATACGTCTTGAAAGTTTATAATTGTAATGTTAGCATGTTTGACTTTGCTTGTATAAAAGGGTTTAATGTTTGACCCTATATAAAGCTTTGTCTTGTAGTGAATTAGTGTGTAGGAGCTTAATTGTGTGATACAAAAAATATTCTTAATTGTATAGAAGGGTTTAATGTTTGACCCTATATAAATATTCTTGATGAGTTATTTTTTAGAAGACGAACATTCGACAAAAAATAACTAAAAAAACATTGATATAATATTTTAAATATCCTCTATTTAATTTGAGTTAACAAAAAAAGTTGGTTATTAGTTGGTGGGACAAATGTAAAGAGATTTTACAAACTTGAAAAACAAATTTGGGATAAATGAAGTTTATGAACGAACAAATATATTTATTCCTTGCAACTATATTCTTAACAGTTATAACATAATCAATACTAATCATGAATGTAATTTTAGTAATATCGTTTATAATATGTCTAAAAAGCGTCTCTAATGTTAATTTAATTATTACAAACAAATAATGTTTATGAACAAGAACGTGAAAGCTTAAAAGTATCAAATTATATTCAGATTAATGTCTGAACGGATAATTACACACAAATTAAAGAAAGATGTTGATACTTAGCTAACCAATGTTGTTTATGATTTCGAAAAAAATAAAGGACTACCACAAATAATTTTCTAGAAAAAGTTGTTTAAAATAGTACATGAAAAATGAGCTCACATCTTTTGACAATTAGAACCAAGTACCCAACTCTGTTTGACTTTTCCGGTTCAAGATAAATGCATTTGCAAGAATCAAAAAGTTCAAAAAAATTGAAAATTGCATTTACCTGCATAGTTGAACTTCATTCAAGAAAACAATATAAATGGTACTTGAATCAAAAGAGGTTCCTGTTTTTATCGAAAAACATGTCAACCAAGAGAAATCGATACCATTATATATGAGTATGAATATATAATAAAAGGAGTTCTCATAATATAGTGTTTTTTAATTTATGTAATTTTTTTAATATTCAATTAACTAACTTCATATGATGGTTTATTATAGTTTTCTTTTATGTGCAACCCATTTCAAAACCGCTTTAATAAATAGGTCGCAAAACAAGCATTAAGTTATATTAAAAATATTATTTTTGTGTTCTACCAATATAATTCTTAATATTGTATGCACATATGCAACTAACCATTTTTATATAATTTTAATTTCAACACTGGAGGATTGTTGATACGGGCCATAGTGTGGAGCACCATGCCCTATTCTTTAGAGAAGCCCATGACCAGGCCAACAAAGGATGTTTGCGCTTAAATATGCATAACTTTTGTGCGAGACTTTATTTTAGGTTCATAATATATCGATTCGAAGCTTGAAACGAGGAACATGCTCTAGGAAAGTGTTCGTAGATTCAATGAGATCAACCTTCGTTCATTTATCGTACGTTGCATCAATTACTTTTTACAAATGCATTCAGAGTTTAAAATTGTATTTTCTTAATTATCAATGAATTAACAAATTATCATTAATCTCAAAGTCATTACATATTTATTTCCTAAAAACACACCCACAAACTAGAAACCCCTTTTTGGCTCTATATGAAAACTTTCAAAATCATTGTATACGGGGTTTTGGGAGGTTGGCCAGAATAAAACTGTTATCAAAACATTATATTATTTAATAAAAATAAATTAAAGAATGTATAAAATATAATATATTTAAATATGAATTTAATCGAGTACTTGTAAATCTTTTTGTCGAATTATACAAATAAAAAATATACTGCTTTGCAAAAACTTTAATGTTTATAGTGTTCAATAATATTATTTTAGTGGAATTATACGACACTAACATTGGTATATATATTTTTTCCATTAAAAATAACAGATAGAAGAATTGAATCGAGAAGGATATAGTGGTCCACAATAGTGGYTGGTAYATACACGTCCACAAGTTCGATYTCGTCGGTGGGTTCCGGTTGACGACCCTCTTTCTCTAGCTCCCTTCTTATCTTTTTGTTTTTGACGAATTCATGGGATAATTCATAATATCTCATAATACCAATTTATTCAATACACATTTACGTTAAATTTAATTTTTTTAAATAAGTTTTTAAACAAAAATCTAATAGTTTTTGAAAAAAATTCTAAAAGAATTAATTTTCTAAAAAAATTAGATTTTAAAATAAAAATTAAATTTAACTAATGATCAAATCAGTTAAAAGAAAGAGTCACGTCGATATCATAATTGTTTTTTGCACATTGGTTATTGTTAGCACCCTTCTTTACTAAATGAGTAATTGATGGTTAGTTTTAGAAAATTTTAAATTTAAAGGTTACAAAAGTAATTTTAAAAAATATTGGGATATTTTTGTCCGCATCCCTATGATAGTGTTTGGTACGCAGACTGAACGGGACTAATTGTCTGTCCTATGTTTGGTATGACTAGAACAGGATAAGACAAAACTATTAAAATGATCATATTACCCCTAAATGTTGTTCAATGTTATTTTATATCATATAATGATTGTAAAATGACAACAAATCAATCAAAATATTATCATTTTAACTTAGTCCTATGTTGTTCCACCTTTTTTGGTGGAACAAGAATTATCAAGATTTGTCCCACTAAAATTAAAAATAGTCTCACCTTGTCTCATGTTTTTTTTGTCCATGGCATGTCAAACATGAAACTATTTTTTTTATCACGTCCTGTCCCATGTAGTCTGCATACCAAACGCACCCTATATAAACTCCTCCTTTGGGAGTCCACATTATATGCAATTGAAAAGGCTTAATCGGAGTTTGCATTGCTAGAAAAATGGCCGCCGGAGATCTCCCCATATCTGACTACAGCCAAAGGTCAGTAGTTTATACATACATACATATATACATACATATATATAATATCTTGTACAAATTCTTTACAGGATCTTGAATCACTATCCTGTATACCTCAATTTCATGGCTGTACTTTTCGCATTAGTTATTCAGATGCAGCCTTTGAGCCCAACAGCGATGAACCAACTTCGAGTTGCTGTCATCGCATTTACGGTAAATTTTGCTGCGAATTTGGGCGTACAACAAGCATCAAATGGGTGCGGTTGTTCGAGGGCTCATCGCCGCTTGTGTGTTATTCTGGCCATATTTTACGTCACCATGCTAGTAACTCCGGTGATACTGCTCTTTATTTTAGTTGTAGAGCCGAGCCTTTGGCATCCGATACTGGGGTATTTTCATAGCATTTGGTCAGGTATTAACCATCTCGTGTTTGGTGAGACCGCAACCGCAATAGCTATGGCCTTGCCTCCGCCGGAGATCAAGGATTCCGTTTATCGGAGAATCTCCGTTGGTGTTTATAATTTATTGGGCAGGCCAAGAGATGGACCTACTCCTCTAATTCTTCCGGTGAGTATGCCTCGTCCGACGACAGCCAGCTGTTGCTTTATTATGAGAAGTCACCGGGAGGAAGTTGAGGGCATATACAGTTAAATTTGTAGTTCATCTAGTGTATATAAAGTTAAAGGATTATTTGAATGGGTAGAATTCATATTTTTTCATTTATAAAATGTGTTCATCGGTTCTTTTTCATCTTTTCCGGCGGTTATATCCGTCGGAAATTTGTCGAAAAACAGAGCTTCCGGTGGATATGGCCGCCGGAAAATGAGGCGCTAATGATTAGGATAATCATTAAGTTCTAACATAATACTTAATTATTAACTTTATAAAATATTATATTATTAAACCAAAAATAAATTATTTCGTTATTTAAATTAAATTAAATTATAATAAAAAAATAAATTAAAGAAATTACATAAAAAATGAGAATTTTTAAATAGTTGATTTGATATTAACATTAATATATATTTTTTTTCAAATTTTTATGATATATTCAAATTTATATTTTATTAAAAAATAAAATCATTATTTTCTTTTTAAAAACACATAAAATCGTATTATAATATCGATAAAGACAAATAATAAAATAGAACATTAAAATCGAGATTTGACTCGTTGCATTTCCGAGTACTCTTCTAATACTGAAAAAAAAGATATAATTTATAGAATTAATCGACTCATATAACGGGTTGGATATGCAGATTAATAATAAATATGTTTAATTTCACTAACGTCACCCAATTGACGTCACCCAAATGACGTCACCTCCATTGATGTCAACTTTGCTATGTTGTCCGAGGTGGGTTTGTGTAAAGTGTCTTTGATTATAGATTAAGAAGGTTAATTCGAATTATAATTTATTCGATTTAAATTATTATCTGATAAATTAACTGATAAATTAGTTAATGATTGATAA